GGGCCGGCTGTTGGTGAGGCGTTTGCCCGCCCGCCCCGCCGGCTGGTTTTGCTTTGCGTGCTTCTCTGGAGAGCCCCGTCCGTCCGTGGGGCAGGGGAAGTGGGCTCTGGAGGCAGCGTCTTCACTGTAGCCGCTCGCTGTAAGGAGAGGGGTCTCAGCATGCAGGTTTTCCTGGGCCTGCCTCTCCCTGCTCACCTGTATTGGGGCCAAACTAGTTTGTTTCAGCTTATTTCTGAGTAAGGCAAGCGCTTTCCTTCTGCGTAATGCCCGAGAGCACGTTCACCAGGTGAATCAGCCCTTACTGCTCTTCCGAGTGTTTCTGTCCGTGTCTGGGTTGGTAACGCATGCACTACTAAAATGCAAACGGGGATACGAGTTTTCTGATAATACCCTTTGCTCTTCCGCTTGGACAACTTTGTCCTTGGTCTCAGAGAAAATGGTAAATGATTGCTGTGAGTGCTGTTGCTATTGCCACCATAATGTTGTAGGGTTTTTTAAGCTAAGGGTAGTCACTCCTTTTATACCCCAAAACACCAGGACTGTGGTAAGGCTGCAAATTTTGTTATAATTTTTAATGCACCAGAAGGAGTAAGGAATTGAAATTTTTATTCAAGTGGGGTTTTTCTGAATCATCAAGTTTTGATTAGTTTATATAAAATACCTTCCAAATGTCTGGTTTTGCTTCAAAATAGTGAACGCCTTAAAGTGATTGCGACTGAAATCGATGACAATCCATCAAACTTCAGTCAAGAACAGGCAGATGAGCTGGTTGGTAGCTAAGGTTGTGTTCACTGAAGAGAGAGCAGGTTATGAACAACCTTTTGACTTGGCATCTGCAACTTTTGTACAATCCAGCCACTACGTTGACCTATGATATGGAATTTGATCCATGTTTTCTACTGAAGTGTAAAAGTGCCAGTTTTGGAATAGCAGTCATATTTCTTTTTTAAGCAAGTGGTGTGTAAAGGTTTAATAATCCAGTCACTTCACCTGCATCTGACAATTGAGGACTTTATGGCTCTGCTGATTTGCCTTTTGTTTTGAATGCAGAAAGCTAAATATGTATTGGCGTACAGGTCTTTATGGAAGTGTTGGGCGATTGAATAGTTTAGCCTGCATCATTTGGCAAGATATCCAAGGGTATGAATGCTGATACAGCAGCTGAAGTAGTGTGTACTACTAGTTGCTACATGATGGAAGAGCTTCTCTGGAAATAGGTAAAATCCTGGCTGAGCTTTGAAGCCCGTGACATGAGTGGAGTTGAGACTGTGCCCAGTCTTTCTTAACTGTGTAACAGATTCACCCTCTTCATGTGTCAGTTTCCTGCACCTTGTTCAAGATGATCTGCTCCATAACCTTCCCCGGCACCGAGGTCAGGCTGACAGGCCTGTAGTTCCCCAGATCCTCCTGGTCCTGTGATGATGCCCTGGAAAGTTTCTAGTATCTTACATATAAGATTTCAGTATTTATTCTCCTTCTTTGATTAGTTAGACAGTACTCTCAAAAGGCCTATTAGGATGCCATCAATATGAAACTGGGAAAATACTGCATTTAAGAAACTGTGGAGATGGACAGCAATCTGAAGTGTCCAGGTAGCTGTGCATTTTTAATGTGCATAGTTAATTCTTTGTCAGACCTGATGTTGCTAGTAGAAACTGGAAATCTTGTTTTCTAAGAGCTTGCAGCCCTTCTTTCTTTTACAAGGTATATTTGAAAAGTATAGGGGAACACTGCCCACCCATTCCTACTGATCCCTGGGTAACTCTGCAATTCGTCAAATAATCTTAAACCTATGGAGGAACAACATGGACAGTCTTTGCATTGAGGAGCTGATCAACAAGAACATAGAATCCTTGCTGAAGTTGATAATATGGCACTAATTACAGATTTAGGAGCTCTTTAATTTGAGTGTATGATGTATTTGTCTAAATCTAGGGGAAAAACAGAGAAGCTTCAGATCATAACCATACTCAGAATTTTATTCTGGCCAGTGGTAGTGCTTTTCTCCTGCTTCTTTATCTATGTAGCTAAACAGCTTAATGTGAATTTGCTAATTTTTGCTCCAAATAACTGTTTTGAGCTTGTGATAAATTAGTGTGAGCCTGTCTTTAACCATATGTGTGATCCAGATATGCATGAGTCTGCTTAAATTTGTAATGCTAATGCCTTACCTACCATAGTGTCATGGCCAAACTAGGATACCCTTATAGGAAGACTAGAACTCCTGTCATATAGTGCTTTGTTTGCTACTGAGACTCTTCTGTTGGCATGTCTTCTTGTCATATTTGCAAGGCTATAGATATCCTAAATTTAGTTACCGTTGTAAGAAAAGAATTAACTATCCTTTCCAGATTCTGTGCAGATGTGTGTCTGTGAAGGTGGGCATCAGAAGTGTTTGTTTGATTAGGTAGGAAAATTTAACTAAAAATCTGTCCTGGCCTGAAAGGTAGCAGCATGGCTTATTAAGCTAAAATTGGTCACAGAATAAAATTAAAAGAAAATCTAGGTCAGGCCCTAAAACCATCAGGAAGTTTAATCTAAACATTACATCCCACTGTAGTTAAATCTAGGGCCTTCCATTGTTCTTGTCCTGGGATATATGTGTCGGCTATTAAATGGACCAAAGTGAACGTGAAGGCTTTGCTTTTCAGATTGGCTTCAGCAGTTGTTGCTCTGTCAATAGGAAGTGGACCAGTAAGGCCAGAACCAGCCTTAATTTAAATAGAAATCAGACTTTAATTGCACAACTTGTTTGATCTCTGACTGATACTAATGAGTTTACTTGTTTCTTAAGGGGCTGTACAAATGTGATGAGCGATTTGGACCAGGGATTGAGAGCTATCCAGACGGCTGTCAGGACATTGGTTTGTGGCTCAGGGATCATCTAATTTAACTATGTACCGAAGTACCTGGTTATTTTTCTCTCTTGGATTATCCAGCACACTACAGATACATTGATGACAATTTTCAAAGGAAGTATATTTCAGTTGAGGAAGACCCATTTCTCCGTAGCTATAAGCATCGCCCTTTTGATGATAAGGATATTTTGCCTGAAGGAGTCTTTGCATTTTCTTGTAACACAGATCATCTTACTTTGACTCGCTCCTTCCTGGACGAGTGTGATGCTTGGTATTTTTAGAACACCCCAAACCTGCCTGAGGAAGACCCTTGGCCTATAGCAAATGTAACTCCTCTACTGGTTAGAATGCAGAAGCATGTTTATAAGCACAGGTAACTGTTGATGATTTGCTTATTTATGGATTTTTAGAAGTTATTGTCCACGGGTGTTCACTATTTTCAAATTTACATTGCAGGGTAAAAGCTGTGCTCCAGATGTGTTTTTATGGCCTTGAGACTACAAGTTGCCAATGAGGATTTTTTTAAAAAAAGAAACAAACAACATATTCATCTCTTAATTCACAAATTTTATTCCTGTGTGTTAAACATGAGTTTTATCCTGGTTACACCTATAAAAATAGTCTCATTACTCATTAGCACGTCAGAGTTTCTGGAAGTCCGGTTTTGAAAGGAATTAGAGAAGGGCTTAAAGACCTGTTCTGACTTTCAGTGTTCTGAGATTGTAGTGTCTTGCATAGAGGTAGAAATATGGAGGAGCATAGTGCCAGATTTTCAAAAGCACTGAAAGTCTGTCCAAACAGATTTTGTGGTTGTCTTGTTCTCCTTCAAGGCTACACAAAACATGCTGCAGCAAGTCTACAGCTAGTAGATCTGCCAACTGCATGTCAGCTTTTAGGTAGCTTGGCACTTGTATGTGGGGAGGCTCTTTGGCCCACAGAGTATTGCCTTGTTTCTTTTTTTTTGATAGGAATACAAGCTGTATGTGTATATTTATGGTCATAGTTAAAGCAGGTGATGGAAATTAAATCATAAACAGATGTTATGAGTGTGTATGATAAATTAGTTTATAGAAACATGTTGTACTACATATTATTTTCTTACTTTAGTAGCTGTTTAATGACTGGATATTTTTTAACTGCTCTGTAGCTAAAGTCTGTGTGCTGCTGCCAGCACTCTGTACACTGGTTTGGTTTGCCTTTCTGCTATTAATGTAAGCAAGCTTACACTATCTGAAATAGTTCTTAAAATGATAGCTGGCCTTATTTTCCTATCTTGCTCACCAACATATTTTGTTCTTGATGTGTTTTTTCTTTAATTGCTGTAGTGGTCTCAGAGTACCTAGCTGCTTAATTGTGCTGTACTTTTTTCTCCTTTTCTAGGCACTGTCAAGTGGAGTTCACTGCAGATGTCAACCTCATTCTCGGGGGTCCCGCACAACTTATGGGCCTCCAGGCCCCAGGGAACTTGCCTCAGAGCAGCTAATTCAGAAGGCAGCAAGAGGAGACTATGATGGGGTCTATGCGATTCTGAGGAATGGACTTGCTCATCCAGACATAGCTGACAAGCATGGATACACAGCACTTGCTGCTGCTGGTGTAAGACTCTAATCATGACTCTTTACCACGTGATGAGAAAATTCCTGGTATAGTAGGCTGGATTAAATTTTTCTCTTGTTTCTTTACGTAGAATGAAATGAACATTCAGTAAACAGGGAAACCAGAGAAGTGGTGTGGCATGTGTAGTGTCTGTAATGACTGGCATCATGCCAAATGCCCTGGTAAATCAATAAACTAAAAGAAGCCCTTCAGTAAATATTAGAGATGATTTCAAATGTCTGGTTTGAGTTCAGGTTATGATTATGCAGTGGATTAGATATATGTTCTTGGATGTGACTGGACCCTTATTTTTTCCTCCTAGTTGAAATCAGATTCAGAGTTGTTTTGGTTTTGCTGAGAAGTGGTGGCTAGAAACCATGCATGTACAACTTCAGTTTCTGTAGAAGGGGAATGAAATCCTGTCCCACCCTGCCTTTTTCTTCATGGCCTTTTCAGCTACCTTAATACTTGGCATTCATTGTAAATGGCCAGATTTTTCTAGATAGTAATTTAGAACACTGTATTTCTCCTCTAGCCATCTCAGTCACTTTTGGTCTCTTTCTGTGCATGAATACTTACTGAATTCCTGTGAAATCCAATAATTAAAAATTAGCTGAAAAATGCATATTCTGAACCCTTTAAGATACGGTTCAGTATTGTGTTTCTGTTTTGTGGGAAATACAAATTTGAATTAGCGAAACAGTGTAGAGCATCACTACTTTAAAACTGCATTGTTAATCCTTTCTATGTCAAAAGCAGTGCAGGTATGGATGTTTCCCCTCTACAGGTTCATTCCCACAATGATGTTGTCAATCTTCTTGATAGTGGAGCTGATGTGAATAAGTGTAGTGATGAAGGATTATCTGCTCTCTCCGTGTGCTTTATTCTATTTTATCCAGAAGAATCTTTTAAGGGTAATATTGCTGAGAGGAGCTTGCACAGTTACAAGGTTCGTTTACTTCTAATCTAAAATAACAGAATCATAATGTATTATTTCCTCAAGCTATAAACTTGCTTTTTAAATTTACTGCATACTCCTTAGGAAAAAGTCAGAACTTCTATGCATTTTGCACTCTGAGGTTGCAGAATAATCTCTACTCTCACTGCTAACTCCTACCTCAAAAGACCAAGCTCCAGTGCAGTTATAAGCTCACTCTGAAATTGAAATAAGGCGCTTTATCAACAGCAGAGATGAGACACTGTGTTTAACACAATGATGATACAGTGGGGCAGTTGATGGGAATTACAAAAGTGTAAGTAGAGCAATAGGATGTAGGTGATTCTCCTGCCACTGTGTAATACTCCTGCCATCATGGAGGTGGCTAGTAAAAGCAGTTGTGCTGTCAGAAGTCTGCTGATCCTTGGGGAGCACTTGCACATGGAAAGTCATATCCCTGGCCTTCCTCCTGCCATGAAGAGAAACACCTGCTCTGGACTTCCTATGTAGGAACATGATATACATTTTGTAAGAGTGCAAACCTGGAAATGGGAAAGAAAAGAAAAGCAGGTGTCAGGAATTGCCAGCCAGGATGAGAAAACAGATAGAAAAGGGGTCTGGGCAGGAACTGTGTGTTCTTTGAAATGTTTCAGTGAAGTCTAGAAATGGAAGGGTGCTGCTGAGACTTCCACATGAGGCTAGACAGGTAGTCACCTGTGCCTTGAGGAAACTTGTTGGAAATTAAATACCGAATAATCTTTGGTTCCTCTGAAGTCGCTGTTCCAGTTCCAAGAGTATGTTCAAGTGGTGGCCTGTTGCTAAAGCTGCAAGACTTTTATGAGAAAGGGAGAAAGGGACTGAGAGATAGGAGCTGCTCAAAACTGCACAGAAAATCAGTGTGGAGCTATAACCTCTCATTTTGGAGGTAATATGAGGTAATTGGGAATAGAGAGGGGATCTTTCTGTGTTGGTTTGTGTCTGTCTCATTCTCTGAGATTCTGCAAGATAAATGCACATTGCTTTCACTTTTCCTCTAAGTTGAATATGCATCCAGATTTGGAAACATCAGCCATGTAGATCCTAGCTCCAGATTCTTATGTAAGCTAATGCAGGTTGAAAATCTCTTAAGTGTCTTTTATTTCAGCATTTTTTTTTCTTTTAAGCTTGGTGATACATACTGGAAGAAACTTTTAACTCTTCTAACCATGTTATAAACACCATGGAAACTGAACAAGAAAAATATTACGTTATTTTAAGTTTTGTGGTTTTTTTTTTTTTAATTAGCTACAAATTCTAAATGATATCTGTAGCGGTTGTTAACAAAATTCCGTTATCATTATATGCTGTACTGTGTTACAGCTCTGATGTGTTAATATGCTGAGTCATGCATTGGAAGGAGATTTTTTTTTTCTTTTCTTTTTTTGTAACCTCTTTCTTTTTTAAATCTTTAAGTGGAATGAACAATCAAAATCCTCAGAAACAGTCAATGTGGCTGAAGGCATAATCTCAGAGTAAGTCTCATACACTACAAATGGGAGACCAACTCTCATTAACCCTTTTGTGTAAAGAAGGTTAGCAGTATTTCACATATTTCTCAGAAGTGCGCATCCATTGCAGGAGAAGATACTTTTTGTTTGTTTAACTGGACAAATCTTGTTTTCAAGCCAGTAGAGTCTCATTGTTTATACACTGTAATGTAACTCATGTCAGCAATGGGCAAAGATTGCAGTTGAAAAGTGTAGTTCAGGCAAAGGACATCATGCTAGAACAACACAAGACTTCTCGTTAGTGGAGTGTGAAAAGCTGCTAAGTATGCACTACTTGCGATGTAGTGTAGGTGTGAGGAAGGAGAAAATATTCACTTTGTTTCTTGAAGCCTTTGACTACATATGAACTCACTAGTTGTTTTCTGCATGTGTCTGTTCAGCAGTGCTAACTGAGATGTGGTCCAACTGTTTTGTCTTTGTGGATCTTTGAAAGGGCCACATTTTGCTTTTTGCTTTGCTTGCAAAGCAGTCACCAAAGACGACAACATTTTTGTGTTGGGCTTTATGGCAGTGTAGGTCATTTTGATATCTTAAAATTCCCAAACTGTAAATTCCTGGTTAGCCTTCTGGCCTTCATCCCTTACATTTTACTTTTGTGGCACATCCTTCCACCTCCCATGATTCCCGTTGTCTGGAATATTGTGAATATTGCATGTTGTTTATTGGCGTATAAAGATCCATTGAGTGGAGGGTTTGTGGGTAAAGCTGAGCTAATACCATGCCTGAAAAGATGAGTCTTCCCTGAGATGAGTTTGTGATTGAGTTTCTGGTTGATTTCCACGTGCTGTTTGCCCTTTTTTTTGTTGGTGTCAGATTGTTTTTGGGGGGTGTGTGTGGGTAGTTTGCTTCCATGGAAATGCAGATCGCACCTGGAATGTACTGTCCTAGTCTAGCATAGTTCCTGTTCCAGTTTTTGTTTAAGGGAAATACTGTATTTTGTTTTCTTGGGGTGGATGAATGAGGCATGTCTGAGGAAAGAACCTTCCAAAGAGTCTTTGATGGCAGGAAGGAGGAGTCTGTTTCTTTCATTAAACAAGTCTAAGATATGTTTACAAGTCACACATGAGCGACTGGCAGGGATGCAGAGAACCTTGCCTAGCTTTACCTGTCTGTTCCCACACAAGGGCTTTTCATGACCACGGGGACTGCTTTTTCATGCCACTCCTTTAGCTTAAGGGGCTGAGGTGCACTGGCTATTCTGTCCCCTCTTCAGGTCATGATGTTGTTGCCAGGGGTGTAGAGCAGTTGTGGTGCGGCCCTGAAGACTGCCATGTCTTCCCTCTTCCAAGTGACAGTTTTCACATCTGTTACCTGGAAGTCCACTAGCTTTTAGAGTTTTCTTGGAAGGTGCTAATACATTAATCTGTTTTTTCCATGTCAATTCTAGACAACAGAAGAGATGGGAAACAATCCAACTGTTGCTTCACCGAGGTGCAGATCCCAATGCATCCTGGGTCACACCACACCTTCTGTTCTTTGCTGTTAAAGCTGCCGATGCAGAAGCAGTGAAACTCCTCTTAGAAAGGGGAGCCAGGACTGATGTGCGGCTTCCATCCAAGGTTTTACTGGATTATAATTCATAATATGGGATTCTAGATGTGTACTGCAGCTTCAGTGCCCTACTGTAAAATATCCTGCATGTCAGAATCAGCTTTAGAACGGCCAGAAGGCTGTTTAAAGTGATTATTGTGTTCAAAGATTTTTTTTTTAAATAGAAAGAACTCAAAGCTCCTTACTCTCCAAGTATGTTTTTTCTCATTGTTTCCTGATTGCTAAGCTTATGAGTGTTTGGGGAATACTTGTGAAGCTGCTCCTTAAGTTGGTAATAGCTGTTGTGATATTTAGTAGTTTTAGTGTCTGGGACCTTTAGTGTTCCACTGTCCTATAACCTGGCTGGAGGCAGGGCCCCTCTAATTTTTAGCACAGTACCCATCAACAAATGGGTTTGTATTCACTGGAGCAATTGCTCTGGTAGAAGAACTTTCTCTTTTATTTGTTCTACCTTGTAACCTACGTACTTGAGCCCGCAAGGCAAAAGTAGGTTTACCATCCCATTTACTCCTGTCCTCTCCATGCTCACGCAGGAAAGGCTACACGATACCTCGGAACATGTACTGTTCCTCTTGGGCTGGCGTTGTAGGATACCGTCTGCTCCTAATGGCTTCAACACGAGTCCATTCAGGGGAAGAGTAGGATTTATCTTTTTTCTTAGGCAGTTTCTCATACACTTTTTCAATCTGCTTAGATGTTTCCTTAGCCACTTCCTTAGCTACAGCTGAAACACAGGCCTTCATGGGACCAGAGAGGCTGTCCTCATACTTTGTTAGCCACCTCATTCACTCTGGGCATCTCCTCCCCAGACCATTGTTGACAATGTGTGAGAATACACTGATGGGGCACTCTGTACAAACTTCCTCAATATGGGTCGCTGACATGGCATTTCATCGGGATCTATAATTGCTTGCTGGTCACTATAGATCACCTCTTGCACAGCTCATTCTCTCAGGTACTTAATACCTTTTTCCATAGTGTTCCATTTGTTTGGGTGGCATTCAATATCTTCCTTAAAGGGATACCTGTTCTTTACAGCTGCTAAGAGTCGTTTCCAGAGGCTGACATTGCTTTTCTTTCTTGCAAGTGCCTTGTCAATGCCTCCATTCTTAGCCAGAGATCTCAACTGCCTCGCTTCCCTACTGTCCAGCTCTATGATGTTGGCCCCATTATCCCAGCATTGGAGCAACCAGCTGGTAATAGGCTCTCCTTCATGACGACTAAACTCCTATCTCACATTACGCAGCTCTTTCCTAGAGAAGAGTTTGCTTTCCTCTCTCTCTGACTCCTCCCTATCTGATGGCTTTGCTTTTCACCCAGTGTTCAGACTGGATAACCCACAAGATAAGGCTAACAACGAGTAAACAATAATCCAACGCATACGGCAGGTAAGGCAATATCACGGCACTTAATTTTAAACAAAACGCTAGTACAGAACCCCATGGTATTAAACTTAAGAACCCCATCATCTTGTGAGCTGTTTGTTTTAATTTCCAACCATACGAGAATCTCAAAAGAAAAAATCCACTCCTAAAAAGCGTGCGGGAGTTTGTGCTATTCAGGCAATTTATCGCCGCTCTGGTCGTGGCCCCATGTTGGGCGCCAATAAATCTGTCATTTGTTAGTGTCTGGCCCAGCCTCAAACCGTGACAGAGACACATAGCATGTGGGAAGAGTGAGCTTGGATTATTCTTTGAAAAAATATTTAGCGCTGTTTAAGTGCTGCTTCTGATAAACAGGAGTCTTAATGCTATGTTTGTGTTTTCAGTTAGGGGGGTTAACTCCTCTCCACATAGCTGCCTCCATTCCTGGGGAGGAAGGGGTCCGGATAACACAATACCTCCTGCATTCTGCTCCAGATCTTAATGCAAGAGCAGAAGATGGAAATGAGATATATGGTCCAGACAAGGTATGTTGCTTTTTGAGCTCATCTTCTTTCACTTGTTGAAATTCAGATTGCACAGGACCTAAGCAGGGAGTTGAGATTCCTGCCTACTTGATTTCACAGTGAAATCTTTTCATTCCACTGAAAGAACCTTAAAAATAAAAATAAGAAGAAAAGAAAAAGGAAAAGGAAAAGAAAAAGAAAAAGAAGCGCCATTTGAGGTCTATAGTTTTGGGTTGCCATAAACATATCTTTCTGGTTTTGGTGCCCCAGGACATTTTGCAACCTTGCCTTATGTAAGGCAGAGTTTAGAAGTCTCTTGTGTGTAGTCCAGTAGAAATGCCTGAAGATATGACTGCAGAAACAGGTATGTCTGTGATGGGACTTGCTCATTTCATCTCCATGGAGCTGGCCTAATACTTCTGTTCTTTCCTTATTTCTCTTTTCCTTGAACCCAGGCTGTCTCTGCTAGATACCTGCAGCATTTGCTGTGCCTCCAGGTTGCAGAAGGTCAGCCTAGCAGTAGACCTTTTTAGTAGTATAGCACTTTTTAGTTAGAGTTGCCATTTTTAATGATAATTCTCTACTGCTGATGGAGCTATACCAGCTATATGTGCCTTTTCTGGTATTTGTTACCTGAGAAATTACTTTTAGTAACAAAATCATGTAGTCACAGAACAATAGAAAGATTGGAAGAGACTACTGAAGATTGTGTAGTACAATTCCCCTGCTTAAAGCAGGATCAGTTATAGCAAGTTGCTCAGGATCTAGTCCAGTTGGTTTTTGAGTATCTCCAAGGGTGGAGACTCCACAAATTCTCTGGGCAACCTGTTCCAGTGGCCACACTTTTCCTAATGCAGCCCAGGGTGCCGTTGACCTTCTTTGCTGCAGGGTTGCACTGCTGGCTCACGTTCAGCTTGTCCACCAAGACCTCCAGATCCTGTTCTAGAAGGTTTTTTTCCACCTGCTCAGCCCCGAGCATGTACTGGTGCCTGGAGTTATTCCTCCCCAGGTGCAGGGGAGGAATACATCAATTTCTTTTTGTTGAATTTAATAAAATTTCTCTCTATCCAATTCTCCAGCCTGTCCAGATCCCTCTGAAAAGCAGCACAACTGTGTGGTGTGTTAAACCCCTCTTCCCAGTTTTGTATCAGCTGTGTACTTGCTGAGAGTATAATCTGTCCCAGCACTGAGCTCATTAATGAAGACATGAGATAGTATTGGCCCCAGTATCTGCCCCTGGGGTATAGCACAACTGGATTCAGTGCTGCTGATCACAGCCCGTGACCCACCTCACTGTCCAGTTGTCTAGTCCACACTTCATAGCTTTTCTATGAGGATGTTATGGGAGACAGTGTTGAAAGCCTTGCTAAAGTCAAGGTAAACAACATTTACTTCTTTCCCATCTGTCACGAAGCCAATCATCTTATTGTAGAACACTATCATGTTTGTCAGGCATGATTCCTTGTTTTCAAACACATGCTGACTGCTTCCAGTCACCTTCTTATCTGTTGTGTGTCTGGAGATAGCTCCTCAGAAGATTTTCCGTCAGTTTCCCACAGGCTGAGGTGAGGCGAGGCTGAGCAGCTTGTAGTTCCCTGGTTCTTCCTTCCATTTTGCCAGAAATGCAAAGAAATTCCTCAGAAACCTCCCCTGCTTGCTGTGACCATTCAGAGGTAACCAGAGTAGCCTTGCAATGACATTGGGCAGCTCCCTCAGGTCCCAACCACTTAAAAAAGGAGTTGGCTGATGTAACTAGACTGACAAAATTTATCTTGTCATGGCAAGGACTAAGGTGAATGTCTGCAGGACAGGGAGATTTAGATATAGCTTTGTCAGTTTGTATTTTAGTACTTTGTCCTTCAGTAGTAAACAGGAGAACTTAATACCTATTTATTAACAGTACTTAGTTACAGAATGGCCAGACACAGTGTAAGATTTACTTTCTCAAATATCACTTTTGTTTTTTATATTGATCTGGTGACCCTGTATTCATAGACCTTAAATGAAAGACATGTGAATGAGCTTGACCCAAGGCAGGCCCTTTGGGCCTGAAAGCTTGCTGCTTCCCTCACACTCTACACTGTATCGTTTGGCCCAGTAAAAGTTATTAACATCTGTTTCTCAAATTTGCCTTCCCTAGACTTCTCCAGTGTTATTAAACTTCTTAACGTGCAGTGCGAAAGCAGTCTAGCAGATGAGACCTGAGTGTAGAGAAGAAAGTACAAAAAGGGTGGCTGTTCTTTTTGTGGGGCTGAACAAGTCTTGTCTATGATTGAGATCCAGACCAACGGGTGACCAGGCAGGTTATTTTGTGTTAACCTGTCTTTAAGCTGTGTTATAAATCATTTCACTTATATTTCTCAGCCTCAAGCCAGAGAAGCCAACTTGACAAGTGGTCTCACTTTGCAACTGAAAAATGAAGCAGGACCACCACAAGAGTACTTTTCCTCCTATAGTGGTCCTGTCCCTGAAGAAGGTGGAAGGAGTGCATTGCATATTGCATGTGAAAGAAAGGATAACTCTGAGGTGAGATCATTGTATCTGAGACTCTGCTCATAGGGAGTAGTTCTAAGCTAATCCCAAGTGACATAACGTGGCAGTGAGGACATTTCATCTCTTTGTAAGGAGCTGATTGAATATCAGGAACAAACTCATTCTCTACTGAATTATTAGCATTGTGCTAAATAAAAATCTATTAGCCCTTGAGGAAAAAACATTTCTTAAATCTTTGGAGTTCTGTTTAGAAACTTCTTTAGTTGAGTTTCCATTGGTTAATTGGCCATTAACTTAATCATCTGCAAGGCCAATTTGAAGTTATACGGTTTTAGTTTTGGCATGCACTAACCTCTGTGCATTTGATTTTTTACTGTAGTAACATTATTCTAGCAGATTTGGGATTCGTACAGTTGGAGAAAGGTGTTTGAGAGAGGAGACCTACTTCAGAAGCAAACCTACATGTTCCTTCTTGTGACAGGATTAATGAGATTTGGTAACTGGTAGTGAGGAGGTTACACGTATAACACCACTGTGCTTGGATTCTCAGTCATGAGAAAGCAGATGTATATTTTTACTGTAACATCATAGTTTAGATGAAAGGTTTGACTGTTTTATGCTATTAATTAAACTATCATTAAATTTAATAGTAAAAAGTTAACTTTATTATGATCTAATTATACCTTTTCCCACTGCATTTGCCTACAAAGCATGCCAGAGATGTTATCCGCCCACTTTTAATGCATCAGGCAAATCCAGACACATTGTGGAGTGGCCATTCACCACTTTCCTTAGTAATTGCCAGTGGGAATGACTTGGTGAGCATCTTTAAGTTCCTTCATTTCTTTGGGTGTACTTCTCCATTCATGTCTGCCTCCTCTGTTGACAGCCAATCTACATTATGAGTGGTGCTTGCAATCATACATTTTCAGGGAAAATAATGACGTTTTTACTTTTCTTTCAAACCTGTGGATGTTTCATGAGCTGAACTAGAGGAGTTCTAGAGGACTGTAGTATGAGGTAGCCAGAAATACTTGAGCAGAACTCAGAAGGGACTAGCATTTGGAGAACATTCAGTTCTCTTACAGGCTGCTTCCCTGCCCAGAGCAATCCAACCAAACACCAAAATACTTGCTTCTAGGTGTAAGACAGAAGTGTACCCATTGATGATAAGAAATATGCTGTTCTATGGAAAGATTAATGATCAGCAGGGAATGGAGTCCCTTCTGCCCACACTAGGACGGGAAGAGCAGGTCCACAGCAGCCAGCACGGTGCAAGAGGAGACACACAGCCAGAGCAGGTGATGAAGCAGATGTGTCTGCAGTGCTCTACCTCTCTTCGAATAGAGCTCCGTGTGTCCAGGCTCCTGGCTCGTCTTCTTTCTGGAAAGCAAGGCATGAGAATGATGGGGTGAGAGTGGCACCCTGGCTCCCCACAGAACTCAGCTTTTGTGCAGCCACACAAGGCCACAGCAAGTGCGACTGACTGTAGCCCAGTGGTTCAGATAAGCTGAAAGGGGCAGGGTTGGAGTGTGATTTCTGCTTCCCTGTTTACTTTTCTCCAGTACAGAAGCACACAAATAATCGAAAGAAGCATTCTCTTGCTTGCATGAGCAAAGCCAGGGGGAAACCCTTTTCTGTATTTTTGATGAAATCGACATTCAACCTTTTGTTCTGTCACTACAAAATTTATACTTTACATAGGATAAATGGTAGCACATAATAGAAAATCTCTGTTGTGTGTTATTATTCTTTAACTATATTCCTTTCACTGGAAGGGTATCAAATATCTATAAAAATAAAACTGGATGCAATATAATATGGAGCTACAGTTTGGACCATGGAAGGGGTTGTAATAGTGGCTACTACTGCATACAACATGAAATAGGTTCTGTATCAAGTGTTTGAACCTCAACCTGTTTCCTTACACTGTTGTCATCATTTTTAAGACAGTTTTGGTATTTTTCTGGGCAAAAGTGTTTTCTTGCAACACAAAAGTTTAAATTTCATGATTTTGAATGAGACAGAAAGTCCCATATCCCACTTCTACTGCTTCTCCTCGCCTCTCAGAGGCTAATATCTGATGAAGGAATGATCTAATAGGCTGTGAGTGATCAACCTATCTAATCCTTATCTTTGTGGTAAAGCTTTTTTTTTTTTTTAAATACACTTTATGAATCAGACCAGCTGATTTTTAAAGTTATCTTCTCATGTGTTTGATACTGTTGTGTGGTAAAGTACTTGATGATGACATCATGATTCATGCTAAAAGAAGTAAAAACTACTGTCCAGTGGACTAAATTGTTGTGTGCTACTGAAGCTATGACAAATACTAGCAGATACTCCAAGTGTGCTGTGGTAAATACTGTAAAGCTTTAGGATCTTACCTGATCTGCTAGGCTCTCACTTTCCTGCTGCAGAACTCTCAATAACGGCTTCTCCATCGCTAATTTGTCACATTTGTGTATGCATGTTTGCAGGCAGTGGTTGAACTCCTCAAACATGGGGCTAACCCAAATCTGCCATTAAGTGGAGCAGTAAGAAGTGCCTTCTATGCAGTTGTCACTACAGCCTATGAACAGCAGAGAATGACAGCACAGAGGATTGCCTTGGTAAGATAACATCTGGGTGATTTTTTTTTTTTTTTTTTTTTTTTTTAAACTTCAGAAAATCAATGATTTTTGTCAGGTGCATTGAGTCCCCTTTCTCTTTAATGGGTAAGGTGATTTTTTTCCCCCAGAACAATTAGTTTGTGTCTATTCCTAATGCTGTTTGTTTCTGTCCTGAGAAACAGAGATTTTGTATGGAAATTCATTTTCATGTTTGACTAAAGAGGATGATGGCCTCCTTGTGTAGAAGAGGAAAAAGTGCATTGAAGTCAAATGTGATGGTTGTAGTGCCCACTGCCTTGTCAAATCTGACTGTTACCTTGTCTATAAACACAACCAGCATTCACACAGAGATGCATTGTGTTTGGTTGTTTTTGCAAAGTGGTCAATACCACTTGTGATGAGTGCACTTTCTCATCTATGATGAGGTCAGTGGCAGCGTTTGGCCTTGTGAAAATTGGAGTTTTTATCCTTGTCCCAGGGAGCACAGGGCTGATCTCATTCAGAATGGAGGTGAGGAAAGCTGCGACTGAGGGGTCTGGGAGCGGAGGCAATTTCCCCAGGTGGGTTCTGCTCTCTCCCTCACTAGTTGTCCCTACTTTGTTTGTTGCTGCAAGATTGTGAGATATCTAGAAACAAATAGCAACTGCCTGCAAGAGGTTTCTACTTATAAAACACGTTGAGGTTTGACAATTTGTCATCAGCTCTAAAGGGGCAGAGAAAATGCATGGTTTGGTGCACAAAATAGTCTCACAAATAGAGGTTAAGCTCTGATGCTCAGTTCTGTCTCTTTAGCTGTGGTGTGAACACAATTTTTTGGGAAGGTTTTCTTTTTTGCTTGGGTGTGTAATGATTTGCTTTCTTCAGGTTGATGAACTGCTTGAAGCTGGTGCAGATATTCTTGCACCAGTTACTCTTAGGGAAGGACAGAGAAAAGCTGTGGGAACGGCTGTTGACTATGCCTATTATAAATATTACCGGGTATGACTTCAGTTCCCATAGCTGAAAGTACTGTGCATTTGCAACCATTCAAATACATGACCTCTTGTGTCCTTATGAATTTTCTAGGGCCTTCTTCAGAAACTTTCATGGAAATTTGCTTTTTCCCCTCATTTGTTTTGAGACTGATGGGAGTTCAGCACCAAATGAAACATTAATCTCTTAATCTGAATACCTCTAATAGTTTTGTCTGTGAAAGCAATCCTTGTTGCCACATATTATAGTAAGATTCCTTTCATAATTGGATTGGAAAGAGCTAATCGTAATCTTAAACCCAAGCATTAAAATCCAAAGTAATATGTGTTTCCTTGAGGCTACAATCAAATCAAGAGAAGTTATTATGGGTAATATATTATGGTAACTTTAGATGTGTTGTAAGCTATGATATGACTTTATTGATAAAAATTTAAAATAATGGATTTCCTAAATAAAAAACGTATTTAAATAAAATATATGTTGAAATATGTATTATATATTGTATATAAAATAACTAAAATGTATTTACTAAATAAATAGATGAATTTACTAAAGTTGTCCTTAATCAATTAATTAATCCCTTATAAAAAGAATCTTACTGTGAAGTATAGCTAATAAGTTTCTGCCTGATGCTGTTTTTCTGGATATATTTGCTTAAAAAAAACTTTTAAAAGGCCTAGGATTCTGTGACAGTTCTAATCAGAAATTATAGCTTTCTTATTAACAAGAAAATGTATGTGTTAAGCAGGTTGCTTACCTCTGGAATATAAACAGCCGTTGTTCTGTAGAGAACACAAGTAATGGTGCACCTAATTCACAGAGCAGCCTGCTTAGAGCTAACGAGGGCTTTTGCATCTCACACCAATGTTCTATGTAGACATTAAGTTGTGATTTCTTTGCTTGCAATTGCAGCTGGTCCTCAAACAGGAAAATAAATTAAGTAATTTATCGCTGTAATCACAGGTCAAACTTGATCACTGTACTCCAGGTACCTTACTTACTTTCCTGCCTTGCTCTGGACTTTAGTCTGTACTCTCCTTGCTAGCACTCACGACAGGGAAGCAGTATGGAGTCTTGACGGACATAATAGTGGACAAGCAGTGCCCTCTAGCTATCTTTTCATTTCCAAGAAACTTTTTGGTGCTTCCAGAAGGTGCTGGGAGAGGAGCTCTGCAAGATGAGGGCAGCTTCCAAGTGCAAGGTCCTGCACCTGGGTCAGGGCAACCCCCAGTGTGAGGGAGGAGGGAGTGGAGAGCCCCCCTGCCAAGAAGGACTTGGGGGTGCTGGTGGACAAAAAGCTGGACATGAGCCGGCACTGTGCGCTCGCAGCCCAGAAGGCCAGCTGTATCCTGGGCTGCATCCAAAGCAGCATGGCCAGCAGGGCGAGGGAGGGGGTTCTCCCCCTTTACTCTACCCAGCTGTGGGGCCCTCAGCACAGGGAAGACATGGACCTGTTGGAGTGAGGCCCGAGGAGGCCACAAAGACGGTCCGGGGACTGGAGGAGCTCCTCTGTGAGGACAGACTGAGGGAGTTGGGGTTGTTCAGCCTGGAGAAGAGAAGGCTCCGGGGAGACTTCTAGCGGCCTTCCAGTGCTGAAAGGGGGCCTATAAGAACGATGGGGACAGAATTTTTAGCAGGGCCTGTTGCGACAGGACAAGGCATAATGGTTTTTAAACTGAAAGAGGGTATATTGAGACTAGATATAAGGGAGAAATTTTTTATTATGAGAGTGGTGAAACACTGGAAGAGGTTGCTCAGAGAGGTGGCAGAAGCCCTATTCCTGGAAAGATTCAAGGTCAGGTTGCATGGGGCTCTGAGCAACCTGATCCAGCTAAAGGTGTCTCTGCTCACTGCAGGGGGTTGGAGCAGATGACCTCTAAAGGTCCCTTTCCACCCAAACCGCTGTATGATTTCCCCCTTGAAGAAACATTTGAAAATTGTTTTAGTTGACTGGTTGAGCACTCACCAAACTGGTAATTGGAGCAATTAGAATGTCTAACCTGGACATGTCCTATGCCCCACCCGTATCACAGATTGAGGTCTGAGACAGGATCCAGCAGGGATGATGCTGTGCTTTTGGAATATGTTGGCTTTAACTTTGAAACACTCTGTGTTGGTGTACCCATACATTAGTGGATTAAATCATGGTATGTTGCAGGATAGGAGAATTGCTCACACGCCATACCATATACTGTCAGCATCTGAGCAGGAATTTTTTCAGACATGTCAGTCACTGCTGGAACACATTACAGTGAAGCTCCATGAGCGTGTCATCCTGAAAGAGAAAGAGTGGGATCAAGAAAAGCTGAGAAGATCCAAGAAATGTTAGTTCAAGACTCAGAGTAGTTCAAGATTAAGGGTAATTCCCCTGGTATGAAGGGCAATTTGTTGTTATAATTCCAGTGTGGCTGTCTGAAAAGGTAACTCCTAATAAAAACTTCTTCTACATATTTGGTAAGGAGATGTAGGGGTTTACAAACATTAAAGAGAATGAACAAGGCATTGTGAAGAAAATCTGAATATTAGTGCCTGTCAGCTGCTTCCTGGTAAATCCCTGTGCAAGATCTGTTACCATGTGTTAAGGAGTGATTGAGGGAGCTTGCTCCTCTGTCAGGGGAGAACCTTGCAGTTGCTTTGCATTTAGTGCAGGGAACATGATGCAGACAATGGTGACTGTGGACATCTAGCGTATTTTCATTCCTTACAACAACTTACTCTCAGGTCTTTTCCCAAGACTCCTATTGTATCAACGCTCTTCTGCTATTAGAGTAGCAGCAATGAATATATAAATTAAGATGTTTTGAGTTACATCCTCAGTAGTGCTCAAACATGGTGAAATCAGGCTTAGAATCTAGGCTTCCAAATACCAGTCTTTGGGGCAGAAGAGGTACCACACTTGGGAAGTGAACTCTAAGATTGTTACCTTTGCAGTCTAGCGTAGCTTGTGACTCCGTCGCTTGTCACAAGCAGGAAGAGTAAATTAGCTATATGCTTTCTTCCTCTTGGCTGTGATATAGCAACTTGGCTCCTTTTTTCTTGGCTTCTGAAGCTTGTTGATGGAAGATGCATTTTATTATGTATCTTCAAATTTCATACAGTAAACAGAGCCAAGAAGACTTTTAATGAAGGTGGATCTTGTGACTAGTACTCTAATTCTCATCAGAATACTGATTTTGTTTTCCCCCATGCCCCCTTTTGTTGCTGTAGTGGATTCAGTCGTTCACACATGTGTTTCAAAGAAGAAAGGAAGGAGCCATCTTGGGGAACAAGTGAGGTACGGCAGAGATACTGCACTCAAGTACTGACTATTCTTAGTCAAAAATACTATGCCCTCTTTTTTTCCCTCACCAAAACTAACATTACCCTGCCATTTTTCTCTTTTTTATTTTTCCTCTCTAGTCTATCCAGACCTACCTGCTGCAGTTAGCTTCCTTCTCTGCTCTGTCAATCCTTTTCAGCTTCAGAATTTGCCATGAGAGTCTGTCTAATACTTAGTCTTCTTGTGGGAAGCAGTGTGTCCTCGTGTTCATGCAAATGCTAAGAAATAGGCCCATACAAATTTTGTAGCTTACATTTCTCCAGAAATTGCAGGAACGGCTTGTACAATTTGAATGTTATTCTTGAAATTGTGTATTAACAAAAGTTTTAATAGTAACAGAAATACTTGCCTCACAGGTACTGAATTCTGTCATCAGTTTATCCTAGTGCAGGGAATCCACAGGTTTCTGAACTTTGTCCAAGTCTTTGAATCAAGAGGAAGTAACATAGGTGTCAGGAACTGGGGTACTTTTGAAGACAGAAATTTTGAGGTAGCATTTTTGTTGAACCAAGATAGATCAATAATAGCAGAAGATGCAAAAATTGTCAGAAGAACATAAAGTGAACTAAAATAGAATCCAGAAGGTTAAAATAGCACACAAAGATTTTACAAATAGCGATGACTTGCAGACTCAGGTGAAACCTCCGTGAAACTTGCTAGCTATTGGGAAAGGATTCTTAAATGCTTTAAAAAGGATGTAAATATGTAGCCCAGCTTGCACTTAGGTCTAGCATTCTGCTTCCCAGTCCCACTGAAAGTCTTAGCCAAAGCACTCTGTTCTGTGTTCCAGCTTAGGAGTAACTGCCTGTGAATGTCCCTGTTTGTCTCTGCAGTATTCCAGTGGGTTCTTGAGGGTTTTCTTAAGTTTGACAGCTTGGCTTTGTTATCTCTGGCCATATATAGGCTGCTCTGCCTGCCAGTTTGAAAATGGACATCTTCAGACCCAGTGTCATGAGTACAGTAAAGCACTCAGTGTGCTAGTGTATGGCTGGATGTGGTAAAGGCTTGGGCATGTTTCTCACTTGACCACTTGGCTTTTCTGGGGTCTGTTTCTGAGGGCTGGCTTTGCAGCTGGTATGCAATCTGTTCCCTACAGACTCCCGTCATAAGCTACAGTCTCCTGTTTGTTCAATGTTATTTCTATATTGAGGTCATTTTGATTTAGTTTTACTGTGATCTGCAAACATGCTGTCAGCTTGACGAAAACCCCAAACAATAATGTGCTTTCATTTCACAACTACCTTTGTTCTAGAGTACCATTCTTTAAATACTGCTATCAGTGTGGCTGTTCAGTTGGTGTTCAGCTATCACCTTGCATACGTTGTCATGAGGTCTTCACTTGCAGAAGGAAATCCTGGAACAAGTGGCACAGGCAGGAGTACTTGGGATTGCTGGGTAAGTCTGACTGGCATTACTCTATGTAGTAGACATAGACAGTAGTTTGTGCATGTGTACTGACCTGGGTAAGTCTTCCTTGTATTGGACCGGTGAAATATGTTTTATGAAGGAATTTAAATAAGAAGGTTCATTTCCTTCACTTGAATATCAGTGGTTTTTTTGTAAACCCACCAGTTTTAAGAGGGCTGCTACCATGTCATTACTCTCAGTTTTAAGAGAGAAGAATCTGTGAGCGCAGAGCAAAGGAAATACTCTCTCTGACTAAGGTTAGCTACTGTGGACATCAACAGACAACTTTCCAGGTGAAGGACCACAATAGATCTAATAAGCTAGGCAGAGTGGAACTTTCCATTCAAACTCTACCTCTTAATCACCTCTATCTATATATTAGAAATCAATGAGATTTCTGACTTTTATGCATGGAATTGTTGATACCACACTACTGTGGTTCTTGGAAACCACACCTGTGCTGATAAAAATGAGGCCACATTACGCACACCACATCCTACATAGCAGTACAAGTCCAGCATGGTAGAAATTATGCTATTTTAATTAGATGATATAATGAGAGAAGTGTCTGTTAACATCACATTTGATAAACTATGACAAAACAGGAACTTCCTCAAGTCTTGTACCTACTTCCAGTTTATTATTCCAGAGAAAATGAAAGTCATCGAAAGACATATGAGTTGCTTTCTTTTCCCTTTTTTTTTTCTTTTTTTTCTTTTTCCAGAGAAGAGTACAGATCAAGTAGCTCCGGATGCAAGCAGTGCAGGATGCAAAAAGAATGTCATTGGCAAAAAGAGGGAAAATGGAAGAGAAGGAAAAGGTGAAAGAAGAGGTGGAAGAAAGAGTGAAGTCAGGATTGGTGGAAGAGAGCATCACTGGAAGAATGAATGACATGTTTCAAGTCACTCCTACTATTGCGTGGACACGTTTTAACACCATTGTACTTTCTGCCGTGTACTCTGCTTCTACTAAGGTTAAACGTGGTCTAATTTGACATATTTTGAGAAACTAAAGCCCAAACATCTTTCTAAGATACCATGTATGAGCTCAGCGATGATAATGCCATTGAAAACTGTGTGGGTATATACAAGTCACATATTTAAATAAATGCTTGAAATTAGAAATACAGTGAACTCCAGATTGGTTTTAATGGTCTAATGCTATCTATATGTATTTAAAAAAACAATATTGGCCAGTTTTAAACTTCATTACAAGTATTCCCTCCTGTGGGGCCCATTTGCAACTGGACTTGCTCTCTAGGTAGGTTTGTTGCTTCATGGGGGGCTTAGATCTAGGATCTTGGGGAGAGGTTGCTGAGGACTGTTCAGCCCTTAGACTATTACTGCTTGATGTTAGCCCACTCTCCACATGCCAGGAGAGTCTCTGAGTGTATCAAGAGTGATTACATGGCTCTGGGGGTGAGGGTTAATGTCGGGGGACTCAGATGGTGTTTTCCTGGATCCTACTGCCAAAGTGGAAGGGATTAAGGAGGAGTGGATGGAACTTGAGGTTCAGCACCTTGTTGTGCAGCTGTGTCAATGACAATGGTTTGACTTTAAAACCACAGGACCCTCTTTAGGGATCAAAGACTGGTAGGGAGGCGTAGAATCCACCTGAAAAAGTGGGCTAAAACCCCATCTTTGCTAACAGGCTGGCCAACCTGAGGAGACTAGGAATAAAATGGAAGGGAGATGATGACACACATTCAAGTGAGGAACTGGTAGAGTGGTCTGACAAGCAAAGGTGCAGAGTAATGTGGTTAAGTCTCCTCAAAATCAACAGAAAGGGGCGGAATGGGGCCCACCTACAGATAAGAAAGTGTTGAGACAACATCATGATGGAAGCTCTCATCTTTTCTTAGACAACTGGCATGACTGTATTGCGCTTTGCTGAGGTGCCTGTACACTAATGCACTCAATATGAGGAGCAAACAGAAAGAATAAGGAATTTGCATGCCATTAAAGGGTTACAATCTCATTAAGGTCACAAAGATGTAATGGTAAATCTCACATGACAGGAGTGTTGCAATGGATGGATACAAACTCTTTAGGAAGGACAGACTGGGAAGGTTATGAGTAGGAGTTACCATTTATGTGAGAGCATCTGGAATCCATGGAGCTCTGCCTTGGGGTGAATAATGAGCTGGTTGAAAGTTTATGGCTCAGGATTAGCTGGCAGACCA